ATAATAGCCCGTAACGCATTTGAAGACTGTGTTATCAGATCTTTTCTCAAGATTAAACATACTATGTTTGTTTTACTTTCCTCATAGTCAGGTTTTTCTAAACCTTTTATTTATGTTGCTCTCCTCTGGGCTCTCTCCAATTTATCTATATTTTTCCTAAAGTGTGATGCCCAGAACTGGGACCCAATACTCCAGCTGAGGCCTCACTCCTGTTAACACACCACAGAATGTTAGCCTTTTTTACAAATATATCACATCATTACTCGCATTTAATTTGTGATCCATTATAACCCCCGGATCCTTTTTAGCAGTACTACCACCTAGCCGGTTAGTCCTCATTTTGTAGTAGTGCATTTGATTATTATTATTATTTTCCTCCTCAAGTGCAGAACTTTGCACTTGTGATTGTTGAATTTTATCTTGTTCATATCAGGCCAATTCTCCAGTTGATCAACACTGTTCTAATTGTAATCCTGTCTGCTAAAGTGCTTGCAACTCCTCAGCTTGATGTCATCCACATGTTATAAGTGTACACTCCAGTCCGTTATCCAAGTCCATTAATGAAAATACTAAATAATACTAAACCCAGGACAGATCCTTGTGGGACCCCACTGGATACGCTCTCCCAGTTTGACAGTGAACCATTTAATGATAACTCTGAGTGTGGTCTTTTTCAACCAGTTTTACACCCACTTTATAATAATTTCATCTAGATCACATTTCTCTAGTTTGTTTATGAGACTGTCATGTAGGACTATATTAAAAAAGCCTTACTAAAATCAAGATATGTTGCATCTACTGCTTCCCCTTATCCTCTAGGCCAATAACCCTGTTAAAGAAGGAAATGAGATTGGTTTGGCATGATTTGTTCTTGATAAATCCATGCTGGCTATTCCTTAAAATGCTATTATCCTGTAGATGCTTAAATTTATTGTTTAATAATTTGAATCTGGATAGATACTGGAACAAAGTTAGGCTGACTGGTTTATAATTCCCAGGTCCTCGTTGCTATCTTTTTTTTTTTTTTTTTTTTTTTTTTTTTTTTTTTTTTT